TATGGATTTAACACTTCTCCTTCAGATCAGAAACATTTCCTTCAAAGATGCACAGAAACAGGCCGTGTAATTCCAAGGTAAGACCTTGCTTTTCTAAGACTCCATTTATATTTAGGCTTCCTTTTTCCTTAGCTTATGCCTAGGCAAGGGTCTTAAGGAATGCCAGCAAATGGCTTCTGGTTTGTCTGAAAAACAAACAAACAAAAAACAAATACAAAACCAAAAACAACTGAGGGGTTTCCTAAATGGTCTTTATGCTATATATAGATACCAATCACCATTATCAAGGTATCAATGTAGAAAAAATTACTGTAGAATCTACATCTAAAGTACAGGTACTTTTTTAAAAGATTTATTTGTGTATTTTAGGTATATGGGTATTTTGTCTGCATGCACACCTGCACACCAGAAGGCAGCATTGGATCCCATGGTACTACAGTTATAGATGCTGTGAACCACTATGTGGGTGCCAGGATTTCAACTCAGAACCTCTGGAAGAGCAGCCAGTGCTCTTAACTGCTGAGCCATCTCTCCAGCCCCGATGGTTCTTAACTGGAATGCATTTTTCTTAATTTCCCGTTTTCCTGCATGAGCAAACAGAGCCGTGAAAGGTGTTTCGGGGATGCCTGTTTTGTTGTGCCAGGTGCTAAGATTCAGCAACCCACAGACTGAAATACATTTGCTTCCATTCCAGTTACTTCTGTATAGTTGATCACAGCACTTCAGATTGCTACCCTGTTTTCCCAGCTACTCCTGGTCCGGGGCACATGGCTGCTTTTGAGAAAACTTCAGAGAGAAGTTTGTTGATCCTTTATGGTTAAGTAACAACACAGAGCATTTATTTAGGCAGAAGGCTGTATCAGCATTCCTCCCATTAGTAAGAATGTAAAACAAAACCACGGGGAATGGAATGAACTGTTTATGATCAACCAGAGAATCAAGGATGAAGTCGGTTGGATACTCAAGTTAGGCTTGAAAGCCTTTGGTTTCTGAGAGTGATGTCCAACTTATCGCCTTCATTCTTTGGCTATACAGTTGCTACACTTCATAAAGAAACCATCTCTTTTGTTCCAGAGCAGCACAGATTCCATACCATAGCACAACTATAAGACTCCTAGCCCAGTTCTCCTCCCTGAAATATCAACATACAGCTGGCAGTGGACTGGGGCCTGCGGCTGGCAGTGGACAGGGGCCTGCGATACCAGCTACTTATACCTGGATCATCCTGATTTCTGGGAAGATACTAAAAAGGTCTTTGAAGCAGCAAAGAGAAAGGAAGTTCGAGACGCTAGGACCTAGAAGGTTAAGGCAGAAAAAAATCTACATGAATAATGTAATTCTGGGGCTGGAGAGATGGCTAAGTGGTTAAGGGCACCTGTTGTTCTTGCAGAACAACCTAGGTTGTTCTTGCAGAGGACCTAGGTTTGATTCCAAGTACCCACATATCAGCTCACAACTTTGGTTAAAGGATGCATACTACACACAGATATACATGCAAGCAAATCACTCACACAGTAAGGTATTATAAGTAAATCTTAAAAAATAAGTTTTAAAAGAGAATTCAGAAATATACCAGTGTGGGGACTATAGACATGGCTCAGTGAGCAAGAGCAAGTGTTGTGAAAGCATGAGGGTGTGAGTTCGGACACCCAGCACCCACAGAAAAACCTGAGTGTGGTCACATGTGCCTGTAAACCCGTGTCACATGAGAAGCAGAGACAGAAGTCTGTGCTGGTGCATGCTGGCTGCCAGCCTAGTCCAGATTCATTGAGAGCCTCTGTCTGACACAGAGAGTGGCAAAGCAGGACACCCGGCCTTCTTCTCTGGCCTCTGCAGACATACACATAAAATGGTGTGAGGACTCCATCCCTTAACTCGGCTGTTTTCCCGGTAACAGCCGATGGGGCACAAAGCATTCAGAGCGCGAGCGGAAAGAGTCAAGGAGGTGGTCCTGAGCAGGGGCACACTGCTTTAGAAGGGAAGGGAAAAGGGAACACTGGTGAGCAAAGATGGAGGGGAGAGCGTGGGCTTAGAGGTGGGGTCCAGGAGGGAGAAACAGAAGGTAGGAAGGAGCCTGAATGAGCAGCAGAAACCACCTCGTGTCCACTTCTCAGACAAGCTGACCACTCCTCGCCCGCCCACTATTGAGGCCACCATCATTTTGCTACCTTGAAGTGGGGGGCCACGCTGAGCACCTGTGCTGGGTACTCACAGTCAGCAGACCAGTCAGTCAATGCCGACTCGCTGCGCTGCACTGCTCTGGAAGAGGAACCGTTTCTTACAAGGCTATTTTGGAAGCTTCATTTTTTGCTGTTGTTGTTTTTGGTTTTGTTTGTTTGTTTTGTTTCCGGTTTTTCCAGACAGGGTTTCTCTGTGTAGCCTTGGCTGTCCTGGGCTCCGTTTGGAGACCAGGCTGGCCTCAAGCTCACATAGGCATGCCTGCCTTTGCCTCCGTGAGTGATGGGATTAAGGGTGTGCACCACCGCCATGGCGGAATGGTCATCTTTTAAGCCAGATTTACCAACCTCCTAATAAACAGTGGAAATGAAACATCTATTTTGAGGACACCGATAAAAGTGGCCATATTTATATTTAAGGAATAGTCAACGGGAATCATGGCCATGCCCCGGCGGCATGAAGTGGGATGAAGTGAAGATTATGAAGACACCACTGGATATTTAAAAGGACCCACGAGAATGGGTCCGTTTTAAAGCTTACTTCCACTTTGGGTAAAACGCACTTGTGTCCTAGTATCCTACCCTTCCTAACAAAAGCTTTCTAAAGGCTCCTCCTGAGCCACGTCAACCATAAAATAAATAGTTCTTCAGGGATGGAAGGTATTTCCTGTTCCTCCTCCCCTCTGACGATAGAGGGACAGCGACTCAGTAAAAGGCGGCACATGTAGTGTGTGTATAGGCCGAGATCAGCCTCTGGTGTCCTTCAGCATGCTGCCACCTTGTTGTTTTGAGACAGGGTCTCTCACTGGTTGGGGGCTTGCCAACTTGGCTAGGCTAGATGACCGCTAAGATCCATCTGTCTGCCTTTCAGTTTGCAAGTGTGTGTGCCACCGTGTCTGTCTGTTTTATTTTGTTGGTGGTGGTGGTGGTGGTGGTGTTTTTTCCACATGAATTTTGTGGATTGAACTCAGGTCCTCATGCTTGTGTGGTGTGGGGCAAACGCTTCCCCATTCCTGAAGGAAGAAATCAATATTCCTATACATCTCCTCACTGACTGCATATCAATAACTATGTTTACCGGTGTAGCCCTGGACTTACGACTACTCAAAAAGCAGCGTGTCTAACCTAAGAGAAAACGCAACTGCTGTCCTTCGTCTCCATCTCACATACAGTAACACCGCTGTCCAGCTATGACTGTAACACCATGGTTGAGGACTCGGAATTTTCTACAGTTCAGGCGTACCACAAATCAGCTCTCACGCAGATTAGACAGATAGTCCATGCTGACCTTAAAAAGGACAATCATTCAGAGTCACAACCAAAAACCTTAATAAATGTTCACTCTCTCATTTACCTTGATCAAACTGCACAATTACCCCTCAAATGCACAGTTCCAGAAAATTCTCAACTAGCTAATAAGGGATTTAAATAAGATTAAAAAGGATTAGCTTGGAGGGCAGATGGAGGGCAAAATGTGCCCGCCAGTCACAGGACAGATCAGGCCTGGCATTGTCTTAGAACACACCATCATAACATTTCAAGGCTGACATTAACTTTGTGAACAAAACTGTAGCATTTTAAGAATTGCTGCATCAGCTAAAAACAAAACAAAGATTCCATACCAGTCAAGTGGCAGACACATTTCCAGAAATTAAAAGTGGGATTATTGTCGAGGGAAAAGAAAGATTTCCTCTCTGTCTCCCTCCCTCATCCCTCCAGAACAGACCTCATGGAGCCCAGCCTGGCCTTAAGTTGGGTGAGCAGCTCATGAAAGATCTGAATTCTTGGCCCTCCTGCCTTTGTCTTCTAAGGCTTAGGACAGACGGAGCCACCACACCAGGCCGGAAAAAGATTTTGTGCCTCAGACTGTCAAACCACAAAGTTAGCTCTGTGCAAGCATTCACAAATGGTTTAAAAATTAATTAATGAACCCGAAGCACGTAGAGCTCTAAGAAAGGCCTGCCCAAGGCCAGCTCTTCGGAGAGGGTGGGTGGCCTTTCTCAGGGGAGGGTCACCCTGCCCACAGGGTGAGAGTAACTTCTGTTCCCACCATTACTTACTCCCTTAGTTGTTTTCCTGATTAAAACATGTGACCTCTGTGAGAATCCCTTACCATCACAACAAATGACACAGTGACAGCAGGTGACATTGCACAGCGACAGAAATCCCGTTTCCTGGGCTCCACATCTGTGCCTATATTAAAGGCCCCTTTGCAGTAAGGAGCCAGCCTTTGTCTGGGGTACTCTGATCCTTTAGAACTAAGTAAGTCCCTGGGAGCAGATGTTATGGGCTTTGGGGACAGGGGCTCTGACCCCGGAGGGAGGGGGCCTTCGGTGCTTGGAGAGGACAGCTGGGCTGCCCCTCTGTGCCCCTCAGCTCTCACCTGTGCACAACCTGGAATGCACCAGGGAGGGCTGGAGTTGGACCTTCTCTTTGTCCTCCCTCCATTTCCACTTTATAAAATCTGAACTCAATTCCGCTTCCATTTCCACTTTATAAAATCTGAACTCAATTCTGCTTCCCCCGGATCCAGTCCTGCGCTTCACTCCTAAAAGTAGTTTCCATGCACCCGAGCATCCTGAGGACGTGTAGGGGACCCAGGACACCAGCGCAGGCTCCGCAGAGGTGTCGAGAGAACAGTACCAACTCCTGGAAAGCCTTTGGGAGCCCGAGAAACTCTGGGGAGAGGGCGGGGGTCCGTGGGAAGCCCAGGGGCCCCTGGAGGGTGTAGGGAGCCCGGGGAGCCGGGCCCCTGCCCACTTCCTGCCGTCCCCGGCCCGCCGTTCTTGTCCTGGGACCCTCCTCCCTCCAGCTTGTCCGTACCGGCGTCCAGGTCCCGCCTCCCGGCGGAGAGTGGCCCTGGATGGTCGGGGCGCCCAGGCGACATGCCGGGTGGCTTCGAAACTCGGGTTGGGCTGGGTCCCGCAGCCTGCTCGGGATTACCCGCGGGCGCCGGCAGCTTACCTCGTTCGTTCCCTTGTGAAGCTCCAGCGCCGTGTGTGTTTCGTATCCTAGGAAACCACCAGGGCGCGCCAGCCCGCTCAAACCACGCCCACGGAGGGCGGGGTCTAGGTGACTCGGCACGCCCACCGCCGTAAGCCCCACCTCCGCGAAGGCGGGATTAAGGGAGCACCTGGCTAATCTATTCTGTCTTTTTTAGTTGCTTTTTCTTCCTTAAAAAAAAAAAAATGACTACAATATTTATTTATTTATTAATGAAGCATTTCTATTATACAATTGTCACCTTGAAATATGCATATTTATATAGGTCATCTCTGTATGAGGGACTTTCTAGATATTATTGGTTTTCATAATGTGTAAGTACGCTGATCCAAATCTTGTTGGGAAATATATGAAAACTGACAAGCTAAAGAGCCGCATAGTGAACTTGCAAACAAATGACTTAGCACATTGGGTCTGTGCTAGCTCAGCGGCACAAAGGAACAACAGTTCACCCACCACAGACAATTAGCCAGGTTAAGAACCAGACTCACTTAACATGTAAAGCAAGAGAGGAACTAACGCACAGACATCAGGCACTTTAAAACTGAATAGATTACTTACCAAATCCCGTAGAATAAGCTAAGTCTACCTTTAAAGGGACATGTTTAATCCTATATGAAGTAATTTGCGTAGCTTGCGTGTGATATGGCTTTGGTAAATAAGATGTTGAGTTCTGTATATGAAGCACTCGTTACAAGCTGGGACAGGAACAACAAAATAAACGCACTGAGGATGGAAAGGGAAGCAACAGTGGAGAGATCCATGAACATACATGGTGTGTGAGTACGTCAGACAATGAGGATGTGGAGATCTGAAGAAAACGAGAGGGAGAATAGCCAGTATCCACAGAGAGAGAGTAGACTCTTAAAAAATTTTTTAAAAGTTTTTTTTTTTCCACATAAGCTTCCTGGCTCTCTTTCAAATTCATGGCATCTCTTTTTTCATTAATTGTCATTACATGAGTGTATGTATACATGTGAATATTTCTAAATATAACCTGCTTAGTCTGTATGACGTAACTTGGATGTATGTTTTCAGGGCTGAGAATTGGGTATCGGCTAACAACAGGTGTGCTCTTCCTTGGGGAAGACCTCTTCTCCCACTCTCAGCATTCCTTAGTTGTTTGTAGTTCTTTGTGTGGGGTTGAGGACTTGTGGTTTCCCCATCCTTCCACCCAACTCCCAACATGGTCTACTTTGACATGCCTGTTCAGCTCATGTTCAGGCAGTCGTGTTGGTGAGTCTTTATGGCTGCAGCTTCTGACATTACTAGGAGACACATACTCACAGCAAACTCTCTAACCCTCTGGCTCTTACAGGTTTTTCACCCCCTCTTCCATGGTGTTCCCTGAGCGCTAGGCACTGGAGTTGTTTTGTCCATGTATCCACTGAACCTGGGCTCCACAACTTTGTGTTTGATTTGTTGTGGTTTTCTGTAGGGGTCTCGTCTGTTGCAAAGAGAGATATCCTTGATAAGGGGTGAGGGCTTGCCTGGAGCTCACCATGGAGCCCAGGCTAGTCTACAAAGGAGAATCTTGATTACCTTTTCCAGTCACATCTGTATTTGGCTGGCTTGCCCTATGTTTTGGTTTTCCTCAGATTTATTCTGTAAAGTCTTGATTCATTAAATCTGGTCCTTGGGCCAGTGTAGCCTGGGAGAGAGAGGCCTTGTGCTTGCTGGGTGCTTTTGATTTATAGACTGCTTTGGATGGTCTTGTATCTCAGATCTTTGTATTGGTCAGTTTATTGGGTCTGTTTTTCTCCCACGAGGCTTCTAAGTCTGTTCTCATTTATTCATTGAAAAAGCATACGGGGTCAGACAGTGGTAAAGTAAAACCAAGGAAGCAAAAGTGTGATAAAATGAGTAAGTGGCAACTAGTGTAGAGGAAGAGAAGGGGACATTGGTGTCACGAAAAAAAAAAAAAAACAGTCAAAGAAGCCTTGAGTCAGAAGCAGGGTAGAAGAAGCAGGAGCGGGCTCACTTGGGGATAACTGTTTAGGTACCAAGCTGAGTGCTGGGATTAAAGGTCTGTACCACCACACCTGCCCAACATGGTTTTTACTTCAACTGCCTGCTTCAACCATAAGCTGTGATAGGACCTGTGCTATCTGCCTTGACACCATTCCCAGCACTCAGGAGACGGGGGTAAGAAGATGGAGTGTTCTAAGCTAGCCTGGCCTAGAACAGCGACTTAAGCTTGGTAGGAGGATATACAACTATAATTTTAGCATTGGGGAAGCTGGAGGGTCAAAAACTCAAGGCCAGCCTAAGCCACATAATGAATTTCAAGACCAGCCTGGGTATAAGAGCTCATAAGTAAAATAAAACAACATGCCTCCTCAATCCACAAAACAACAACAACAAAAAAAAACAATGGAACAAAACAAGACAAGAAAAAAACCTATGTCAAATTAGAGGGGTCTTGCTATGGGGAAGTCTAATCTTTAGGATGAATAAGTGGAAAACCTGTAAATTCTCCAAAGTGATGTTCAGACTTGCATTTTTAGCTATCTGTCTATCTATCTTTCTTTCTAAAGATTTCTTTATTTAATGTGTATGAGTGTTATATCTGCACACAGAGCCTGCATGCCGGAAGAGGATTTTGGATGCCATTATGGATGGTTGTGAGCCACTGTGTGGTTGCTGGGAATTGAACTCAGGACCTCTGGAAGAGCAGTCAGGGCTCTTAACCACTGAGGCATCTCTCCACTACCATCCCCACCCCACCAAGATTTGCATTTCCTCAAGGTCAGTGAGCTCAGAGGAGGATGACGAAGGACTGGGTGACCAGAAGAGAAGGCCACTGAAACAGAACTGGAAGGAAGGATGGGATCCAAAGAGGGGTTGGAAAGAGGACACAGCACTCAGGGAGAGTTGGGGGTTGAAACAGACAGGACTAGATGACTGGTGGCTAGTGGTGCTCCCGGCCAAGATGATCGAAGAGAGGAGGATCTGAGGGTGGAGAGTATATGCAGCAACAAGTCTGGTTTGAGGGCTAGTCGATTGGATATGACAAGAAGGCGGTTTATGTAAATGCTGGATCTCGGACATTTTGAATAAAGCTATGGATGTGAACAAATAAAGCTTCAAGAATAAAAAAGGACTGAGGTCCTGGGAAACCCCGTATTTACAAAAGGATGGACAGAAAAGTAGAAGCAACAGAGAGAAAGACTCCCTGGGATAAGGTATTTCAGAGTGAGGAACAAGAGGTCACCAGGAAAGAAACGAAGGAGGAAAAAGAAAGAGATATGTCCAGATTAGAGCCTTGCAGGAGCAGCCTGCCTAAAGCAACCTGCACGCTCTCAGCATGCTTTATCCCATGGCTGTGATGGGAAGGATAGAGTCTCTAAGCATCCATCAGCTCTTCTAAAAGATGCCTGGTGCCCCCACAGGAGCCCCAGACCTGCAGAAAAGTGGCCAAAGGCAAGGCCCACTTCAGCACAGCAGCCAGCAGACTAAGGCTTCACCAGTGGCAGCTCTAAAAGGAGAAAGATTATCCAGGAACTGTGGCTGGAGAGGTGCTCAGCCAGAAAGTGCTCGGTGCCAGCAAGAGGACCTGAGTTAGGCTTCTCAGAGCCCACATAAAAGCCAGCGGAGGCAGTGCAGGTCTACAAACCAGTGCTGCTGCCTGGGACAGGGGTGGCGTATGCAGAGATAACTGATTCCAGGAGACCCCGAGCCAGCCAGTCTTAGCAGTCAGTGAGCTCCAGTTCAGTGAGACCATGTCTCAAACAATAAGGTGGAGAGCAAAAGAGAGGCATGTGACGTTGAGTTCTCCACATAGGCACTCAGTGGGTGAGTGCACACACACACACACACACACACACACACACACACACACACTTTACCAACAATGGACATAGTAGAAATGAACTTCTAAGGGCTATACTTAAGGGCGAAGGAATGAAATACCAGGAGGGAGGGTGATGTAACGACAAGTTAATTTTGGTGCTGAAAACATGGCCAAATCCATCAAGGAGTGTTCGCTCTATGTACTAATACCAGGTCTAAGGATGCGAAGATCCTCATAGTACTTACCGGTAGCAGCTTCAGGCTCTGTTAGATGTGAATGATGAATTTCAGGAGTACCTAGGAGTTTCCTTGCCCTAGGCTTGGAATTAGCTGTTTCTCTAGATACTCTTGTTTCCTATAAGTAAACATCTGTGTTTGAAAACCCTTAGTCCCCAATGCTTGCATGTTAATTGCTACCGTAGTGCCACTGATTGGAGCGGCTTTCAGTGGACAGAGTAAGAAAATAGTTTTCAGTGAATCACCTATTCATCTCTCTGTGCTGGCAGCGTAGACTTCTTCCTTTCCTTCCTTCATCCTTGTCTTTCTCTCCCTTCACTCAGTTAGAAAACCTGGCACCCAATATTTGAACATTAATTCTATCAAGCAGTCGATTTGTATGGGAACTCCTGTAGTAGTGTACTAGAGACAGTCATGTCTAACACAGGTCTTAGCAATGAACCTGTTCTCTGGGGTCAAGGTCTCTTTACACCTTCATTTATCCTTAGAATACACCCCACAGAGAGCGTACATAGTGGTCTGTTTTCAGAAGTTACCTCCATTTTTTTTTTTTTTTTGTTTTGTTTTGACTCATACACTTAAGATTAGGTACCTTTGTTTCTGTTTGTATTGGGTGTTAGTGTTTCAGCCCATTGATGTGGTGGACAAACAGGACAAAACATTTATTTAAAAAGAAAAGCTACAGAAAGAGCACCGGCATGCTTCAGCACGAGGAGACTTAAAATCACAGAAGTGCTAATTCTCCTAAGTTGATACACAGAGCCAACAGATCACCATGAAACCCTGAAAGTGAGTCCCCATTAATTTAATAAACTGATTTTATTGATAACTGGGTCTTGTGGTATATTCCTGTAATTCCAGAACTCTGACAGGGGAGGGTCTTGAGTTCAGGGCTAGCCTGGGTTACACTGTGAGTTC